CGGGACGCTTTAATCTTCCATTTTATAACTACACCGTATAGGAAAAAAAATTATGAAGCGATGTATTATGGTTTGTAAGCGCGAGATTTAGACAAGATTGGTTTTTCTTTAGAATCGATGCACTACTTCCGAAGAAATTATCCATTACATGCAAACGAACAAACCTTACCTCATGTATGTTCTTAGCCCATTGTTACTTATTTATTCGCGCTCCAAAGGTACGCGCAAGAAAATATATTTTCAACCGACTTAAAAAAACAGGAGTATCGCAATTCATTTGTATTTTTTTGTGTTTGTCACCTCAGAACTCCCGTCATTTATGAACCGGTTTTAATACTTTTTATGCATTAGTTTCGGCTTAGCTCCAATGTGGACCCATATTAATTTCATTGACATTAGACATTGGATTCTGGATATACCTCAGGGAACTTCTCAAAATCAAATAGAAAATGAAAAAAAACCGATGAAAGTTCAGTTTTAAAATCTCAAAGACTCCGATTTAAGAAATAAATTTTGCATTTCAGTATATATTTGCGGCCAACGAAAACAAATTCTCTGCGATCGAAGTCAGGAACGTCAGCTGTCAAATGCTTGAAAATATGTTGTCTTGGATTTTGCAATAAAACCTGGGGAGTACTGTAATAATTCTTATATTTTAACCTAATTTGTCGCCCCAGATATGTATTTGTATTTGTTTTCAGCTTCCACGTCCACGCCTCGCTGCCGTGTTAAGAGCCAATGGTGGTCGTCGCGAGGCTTCCTCGTCGTGCCTTTTAGTGACTTTTAGTGACCTTATTTTAATTTTTCAAGGGTGATTTTTAATATTATGAATAACGATGTACGTACATGCTCTCAAACGGATTTCCTACCATGTCAAAATTGTTCCGACGGTAGGCTTTTTAAAGGTAAAAGAGGCTTAAATATTCACATCAAACGTTGTCATAGTCACCCTGTTGCTGCTTCACAGCCTACCGCATTTTGTAATAAGACTATTAGCGATTATAATGACAAAAATTTAAAGTTGTTTTCGGAACAGATCTATTATTACCATAGCAATGTACCAATACTCAAAAGGATTCCAAGAGGTGCAAGGATGCAGCTTGCCAAGTCATTATCAACCTGTATTCAAAATTGTTTCTCAAATACTGAATCTAGTTGGCATAATTTATTTACCTTTGCGTATTCCCATTTTCACTTTGATAAATCGGTATCAAAATCAATTACTTCTCAGTTAAAGAGCAATTCATTCAAAAATGTTGAATTAAAGACTGCCTCATCCATAACTAAACCCCCCCGTAAATTCGATTTAAAGAGAACTGTAGAGACTAAAGTTATGGATGGTGATTTAAAAAATGCATCGCGCATTTTATTTTCAGACGACATCCTTGCTCCGTATAATGATGAGACTCTAGAAAACCTCCGACAAAAGCATCCATCGATCAATCTTCCGCCGCTCCTACCGCTGCCTCCCGATTCTTCATATCAGGCTTTGCAAATTACCGATAAAGACACTTTCGAGGCAATTATGTCATTTTCAAGTGGCTCTGCTGGCGGCATTGACGGTATAACGCCACAACATCTGAAAGATCTTGTAAGCGTTTTCCGCCGGTGATGCTGGCAGAGCGCTTCTTAATGATATTACCAAATTATGCAACTTAATGCTTTCCGGAAAAGTAAATCCTAAATTTGTTCCTTTCTTATACGGGGCAAGATTATGTGCCTTTAAAAAAAAGATAATGGTATCCGTCCTATTGCTATTGGTTCTACCTTTCGACGCTTAACTTCAAAATTAGCATGTAGGCACATAATCTCCGGCCTTAAAAGAAAATTCCAGCCTATTCAACTAGGCTTTGGAAGCAAAAGGCGGCTGTGAAGCGGCTGTACATTCCGTTCGAACTTCTTTAAATACTAGTGATTTGGATGTACTTCTGAAGGTTGACCTAAGGAATGCTTTTAACTCCATTGATAGAACGACTCTGCTGAACGAAGTGGCTAACCATACACCAGAAATATATCACTATGTTTGGCAATGTTACAGTGAAAAGAGTAATTTATTTTATGAAAACCATATTATTGATTCTGCTGTCGGCGTTCAGCAGGGAGATCCGCTAGGACCAGCATTATTTAGTTTGGGAATTAATCCAATTATTTCAAAATTGAAATCTAAACTTAATGTCTGGTACCTAGACGATGGTACTCTGGGAGGTAAAGTTGACGATGTACAAAGTGATCTTATTGAAATTATTAGACAATTTAAAAATATCGGTCTCGATTTAAATAATTCCAAATGCGAACTTTTCTTTTCCGAAAAGATTTCTTTTTCCGACAAAATCATTTTGACCCAAAATTTTAGCTCTATCATACCGGGAATTAACGTAGTCCGTTCAGATTCACTTTACCTCTTAGGTGCTCCTTTGTTGATACCAAGTTTGGAACCTCATTTAAAATTAAAGTTAAGTCAATTTTTAGATCATGTCAATAAATTGTTTTTACTAAATTCGCATATTGCGCTTACTATTTTGCGACATTGTATTCTTGTACCTAAATTTACGTACCTCCTTCGCTCGAGTCCAGTTTGGAAATGCGGTGACTTTTTGAAGGAAATTGATTTCCATCTTAAATCAGCTCTAGAAAAAATTCTAAATTTATCTCTTAATGAATTAAGCTGGACTCAAGCTACGCTGCCAATTCGTTTGGTGGTATCGGTGTAAGGAAAATTTCTAGTGTCGCTCTACCTGCCTTCCTTGCTTCCGTGCATAGCGTAAATAATTTATGTAATAACATCCTTAATCACGATTCAGAACTTTCCTATGCAGAGGAGGCAAGGATGTCTTGGCTGTCTATCTGTCCCAACGAAAATATCCCACTGGAAGTAAACCTACAAAAACAGTGGGATGTTCCTTTGGTGCGGAGAGTACAGAGAGATACGTTTCAATCTTTAGAAAGTAATTTAGAGCTTGCCCGTTTCCTAGGAGTCTCATCTAAAGAATCGAGTTATTGGCTTCACGCTTTACCATCAAGTAACTTGGGCACATTACTTGACGATGAAAGCTTACGCATTGCTGTAGGAATCCGTCTGGGGGCACCGATTTGTCAACCACACCAATGCCCTTGTGGTGTCAGTGTTGACAAATTTGGTCTCCACGGGCTTTCTTGTCAAAAAAGTGCTGGCCGTTTTTCTCGCCACGGTTCCCTGAACGACATCATCCGTAGGGCTCTTGTTTCCATCAATGTTCCATCTATTTTAGAGCCCTGTGGCATTTTACGCGACGATGGTAAGATACCCGACGGTTTAACATTGATCCCTTGGGAGAGAGGCAAAGCCCTTGTTTGGGACGCCACTTGTGTAGACACTTTGGCTGCCTCTCATCTAAGGGGTACTTCGGTCAGGGCCGGGGCGGCATCGGAGGCAGCTGAAGTAAGTAAATGGCGCAAATATGAGTCTTTATGTTCAGATTATGTATTTGTGCCATTTGCTGTTGAAACATTAGGTCCGTGGGGTCCCCGCACATCAAATTTTTTTTAAAAGTTTATGTCCTAGGCTTAACGCCGCGGCTGGTGACAAGAGAGCTGGTTCTTTTCTCGCGCAAAGGTTGAGCATAACTATTCAGCGAGGAAATGCAGCTAGCGTTCTTGGCACCATGCCGCGTGGATTAGGTTTATTAGATAATATGTAATTTTAGATAGATTTAATCTTGTAAATATTAGATCAATAAAGATTGTCCTTATTAACATTTAAAAAAAAAAAAAAAAAAAAAAAAAAAAAAAAAAAAATAGAAAATGGTAAGTGAGATATTTTTAGTCGAATTTGGTTTTAGGGTTCCGTACACAAATTCGGGACCCTATTACTAAGACTCCGCTGTCTGTTTGTCTGTCCATATTTCCATCTGTCTCCAGCATATATCTCATGCACCGTGATAGTTACAGTTGAAATTTTCACAGATGTACCTATTGCTGTTGCCGCGATAACAATAAATACTAAAAAAATATTTAAGTGGGACTTTTTGCAGTTTTTATAGATAATAGTTGCAGAACACTTCGTGCGCGAGTCCGACTTGCACTGGGTCGGTTTTTTTGTTAGTAAAAATGTTTTCTTTTAGCCGTACAACGTCCTGACTGCCGAGTCAAGAGTGTGCGTTTTGGTAACAAATTCATTACGTCCAATTCAAACCGACGTAATGAATGGGCATCAAGCTATCCTCGGCTAATGAGCGTCACGACAGTGTGGCGAGGCCCTAAAACACGGAGACCGGTTCCCACGCCCGGGAACTATATCCCGTCGCCACCGACCCGTCTCGCTGCATATCAATACAACTCGCTCGATCTTTGCTCAGTATTAATGACAGACCACAGATAATGCAATCCCGGTGTCCGTTCAAATACAATTAATCGCGGTTCTCTTTTTCCCCTCTCAAATAGAAGGTCTTGCGTTACCGACGGGGTGTGGTCATCATGTTTATACGGACGCGATGCAGTTACGAGAACGTGAACGAAAATTTGGTGTTGGTCAAAACAAAAACGTATTACGTAAAAATAGAGCCATCTTTTAATTTGTCGTGTTTCCTTGTTTTTATACGTGGCTATTGATGCTGTTATTGGGTATTAAACTCGGTATTTTCCGTAAAACACGCACACAGCACACACAACTTTTAAGGGTTATTGAAAAAGCGTTATGCTTTTGTCTTGTAAATCGTAATAGTTTTTGATAATGGAAAGCTCTCGTAGTCATGAACCGCCAATATGGGTGGACGCGAAAGCGGAAGACACGTAGTCGGAACGCTTGGGTCGCGGTAATTTGAGAGTGGTGACCTATTTTAGCGAGGCTAGCTTGGCGTCCTACTAGTCCCGTCCCCCTCCCCCTCTTCGGTCGAAAGATACATCGCTGCATATATACATCGTAGCTACTATTTTAGATAGCGCTAGACATGGAAGTGCTGAATAGTGCCGTCAGTTGCAACGATAACTTTCTACGTGCTTGAACAGTGTACGCGAAGCGTCGCATGCGAACTGTGGTAACTTGGCGAACTGCTTGTATTATTTCATATCAACCTTATCGGCAAATAGTGAATACACTTTTCTGCTGAACGCGATTGGCGTTTTTGCAATAAAAGTTTAGTTACCTACTTAGCGGTTAGATAATGTACAATGATGTAGACTGTATTGATTTTTTTTTTTTTTTTTTTTTATGGGAAAAAAGCAGCAAACGAGCAGGAGGCTCACCTGATGGTAAGTGATCACCGCCGCCCATGGACATCTGCAACACCCGAGGGCTTACAAATGCGTTGCCGGCCTTTTATAATAGAAGTTTAGTTGCCTTCTTCGAGGTTAGGTAACGAAACAATAATGTAGATTTTGTATAGATTTCGTTTTAGTAGTTTTAATTGAGAGACTTGCGTTCTTACCACAGAAGTACATAAATAAATTTGTGAATAATCGCATTTTTTTGCAGATTCGCAAGAAATGCGACTTACAAAAATGTATTTAATTTCTGCAAGAAGTTTTCATTCTTTTCAGTTACTTATTATCTTCATTCATTCATTGCATTCGTCGTTGGAAACATCCATTTTGTGTGTTTATGTGACGTATAGTCGTTCAATTAGATATGGTTTATATGGTATGCTGTCCTTATGTAGTAACACATGGTGACGAAGGCTTTATCAATGTTTTCCCAGCCACCTGGTCGATGTACAGCATATTTATGTTTTTAATATAAACTATTTCTTATGCGCGTTGAAAAGAATGCTGATAGCTTCCGCACGCTCCATGCTTGTGTCATCCGCAGCTGCATTTGCTGTCACGATTACAAATCGTTTTAAATTGGCTGACAAAAACAATTGACTGTGGTAGGGCCACGCAGCAGCTTCTGTTGTTGTACGAATGGGCAGGCTCGTCCGGGGAAGTACCACGAACTCACAGAAGACCGGCGTGAAGTAGAAGTGTTACACTTCTGCGTTTCTTCTGGTGAGTGTGGTAGCCGAGACCCCACTTTGTTAAAAGGTGGCAACGCGTGCGCAACCGTACGGGTGTTACAAATGTCCATAGGTGGCGGTAATCACTTAACATCAGGTGAACCGCCAGACAGTTTGCCACTTTCTTAAAAAAAATGTAAATTCAAGCGCTAATTTATCACGTGAAGGAAAAATATTTTTTATTAAGAGGAAATTTTTGTATCTAACAAATATGTCTAAAAGTCCGTCATTCCGCAGTTGGGTGACTGTCTATGTTCTTACAACATCTATACATACGAGGACTTTGCCTACCAATGGCCATGGTTGGCTTTTAGTAGGTACGAGCGACCCGCCCCGGCTTCGCACGGGTGCAATATATTATACATATAAACCTTCTTCTTGAATCACTTTATCTAGTAGAATAAACCGCATCAAGATGCGTTGCGTAGTTTTAAAGATCTAAGCATACACAGGGTACGGACAAACAGCGGGAAGACTTTGTTTCATACTATGTAGTGATACTATAGGCCAGTGATTCTCAACCTTTTTTTTGTTGCGGCACATATTTAACGATTTCAAAATTTGGCGGCACACAAAAAAAAAAAGATAAAAATTACTTAATTACTTAATTAACTAATTACTTAAATTACTTAATTAATTAAAAATTTTATTTACTACAACACACTGCATTTTAAAATAGTTTTGACAAAAATTTTAATATACGAATAAACTAATATATACAATTGATAGTTTTAATGTTGGCTAGTGGCAAGAAAATTATTTTTCTTTTTAAATGATATAATTTAATAAATATTAAAAGATGTGAAAAACATGGGAGGGCACTGTGTAAAAAGTGCCGAACAGAGGGTTGAGAAATCACCTGCTAGAGTTACAATAATAACTAAACGTTTATTAAGGGATTAATTACAAAATTAAAAATAAAAATATTTTTAATGCGAAATTTGAGCTTGATGTTTTTTGATAATTTAATTTATATTTGGTCGTAAAAATGACAATGCTACTCTCATATCGTCTTCTACATTTACCAATCTTGATCTTTTTTTAGTTTTAATGTTGGCTAGTGCAATAAAATATTTTTCTTTTTAAATGATATAATTTAATAATATTAAAATTATTATATATGTGCAAAATTTAGCGGCACTCAAAAGTGCCGCGGCACAGTGGTTGAGAATCACTGCTATAGGCTTATAGCATAGGCAGATAGTATAGAATTTTACTTAACTATACTTTTTGTCTTCCAGGTACGTAGATCGGCAGCGTTACACTCGAAAAGAACACATAAACAAAGAAAGACCGCCTCAAGTGCACACGCCGCAGATACTCGTATGCAATGCATGGGTGCAAAAGAGGCCATCAACCATCTAACCTCGCATCCATCATCCCCACCAGTTGGCTTGGGTTTGTCGGCAGGAGCCCTCTCAGGATCCCTGTCAGCATCTGCAGAGAGTAACGCCGTGAGCCATTTTTTCGAATATTCACTTCATATAACCTGTTAAGTGTGTGTGTATCTTTGGCAAAACAGAGAGGCCATTTAGAATAGCAATTGCGTCAGGTAGGTTGATGAGCGATAAAAAGCCGAGTAATATGATTGTTTCGGCACATTTATATCGCATTAAATTAATCTTAATGAATTTTCGCGACAACCGAAGGATATCATTTCAGTCAAAATGAGCATATCTTGTTATTAAATCTTATCCTTTAAACGAGCAATTCTTGTATATATATATATATATATATATATATATAATCGGAATCTCGGAAACGGCTCCAGCGATTTTCATGAAATTTAGTATGTGCATAGATTTGGGGGCGAAAAATCGATCTAGCTAGGTTTCATTTTTAGAAAATGTCCTTTTATCCCTGTTTTCAGGGAATGAAAAATATAATTCGAATATGACGGTAAATTTCGCCGCAAGAGCGGTCGTGGAAACAAGGGCTTCTCATTCAGGTCATTGGGGTTTAAAATGTCATAATAGCTCGGTCGTTAATCGGGCGGCCCCAAAACAGACGGCCGTGGTTCGTGACACGATCATTTACACACTCTTTTTTTTTACTTTTTTTTCGATTCTAGATTATTGCTTTCTTTATTTTTTATTTTTTGTTGATCCAGATGATTTTGTTATTTTTTCCCTTTTTTTAAAAGTTGTTTCTTTTGTGAAAAACACCACTTCATATTTTCTTATTATTAGGTTGGTAAGATCCAAAAATATTATGCATATTTCATTACTCAATAATTTGTATCTAAAAAAACAAAATCCAAAATACACGATTTACCAAAAAAAAAAACAAACCGAGCAAAGCTCGGTCTTCCGGGTACTGTATATTATAAGACAAACTAGACACCGGCCAGTTTTTACGAAGAAAAAGAAACAGAAGCTTTTCCTCCAACTTATTCTATGCTATATCTATCTAGATATATCTATATCTATGTATCACTTATCCATAGATTGTTCATTACTTATAGTTCAGCAAAAGTAGTTGATATTTATATTAAGTGCAAGACATATTATTATAGTCTAAGATGATAATAATAAATAAACACGATGACAATTAGTAATAAAAAAACACATGTGTAGTAATTGCAATGAATAGTAGTGCATGATTATTTCCCGCAATGAAAATAATGAACTTTTTTGCCCATCGTTCACGTATCCTCCCCTCTGTGAGCAATTAATCCTGACTATAGCGTCTTTGCTCCAGATATTGATTACCTTCCCGGCCATTAGCAATTGAAATGGGAACTGCGGACGCTTGAAGCATCGCCCTCCGATGGCTAACGACCGGATCTTCCCTATAAGTCGTAGACAGTGAACTATGAGCGTAGTCGTTTTCTTCAAGTCATGTGACGTCATCTGATTTATCATACTACAGGCTCGTCGGAGTAGATTCTGGAATGATTTATGTAATTTATTACACATCAAAATGTTTCAACTTAATCTATACGTTTTGGGGATGTCCCAAGTTTATATCGGTTAATCGATTCGAGCTTCCGGGAGGTTTTTGTTTCCAATGGTCTAATCGGCGGTTTGGAAAGTTGGAATAGAATTGATAATATTTTCTCGGGATGAGAATATCGACCGATTAGATTAGTGGCTAATGTCTGGGCGCATAACACGGAAAGCCCTGGTCCCAATACAAGAAGCGGTGAGAAATACTTTTCGACAATATATTTACATATTGTTTCATATTAAGTGGAGAGACTAGCATTAAAAATTAAAAAAATAAAGATTATTAAAATTTGGAAACAACATGCGTGTAAATGACTCTTCTTATTCATCCAGATTAGGATTAAAACCCATTTTTTTTCTTTTTTTTATGTGAACAAGTGGCAAACGAGATGGCGGTTCAACTGATATTATGTGATAACCGCCGCACACGGACATTTGCAACACCGCTTGCAGATGTGTTGCCACCTTTTAATAAGGTGGGCCCTGGTTACCTCACTCACCAGGCGAAACGCAGAAGTGTAACAGTTCTACTTTACGTCGGTATTAAAACACCAACGGCTATAGGTACACGAATTCATTACGGAGTAAATTATGTACAAGGCTCAATGATAATCGGAGGCTGGTCTGATTAAAGATATATCGTCTAGCAGCTATACAGTAGATAGACAGCCCGCTCAGAGGCGAGCGTTCTTTAATGACCTCTAATTGGAGTGCCGCGTCCGTTTCCTTTTTTTTAAAGGTTTTTAAAAATGGAAGTGGAGACTCGAATCTCGGCCGCAAACTCACTAATGACCGGAAATTGACTGACGGTTTTTCCCCACTTACCTTAGATGTGATATCTCTATCATTTTGCTGACGAAAACTATAGGTAGCAGTTATGACGGAAAACTGGTAAAAAACTAAAGTAACAACCGATTTAGTTAGAGTAGAACAGTGGGGCACTGCTGAGCAGTCTTCTTTACTGAGGGTGTTAGAACATAATCCACAAAGTGACCCAAAGTAGATTGGCCAGACTTCACATATCTTTGAAACAATTTTTTTTTGTTATCATTTCGAAAATATGCAGGTTTCCTCATGATATTTTCCGAAATCGTGCGCTAAATATCTATTTTGAAAAAGCACTTAAAGCAGCCTTTATATGTATGTAATCTAACGCTGGACAACATAATACTTATAAATGAAACTAATTTTACGGATTTTTTCGCGTTTATTTTTAATTTTAATTCCCGACGTTTCGAACCCTTTACAGCGTTCATGGTCACGGGACAGACAGTCAGTCTGTAAAATTAAAAATAAACGCGATAAATCCGTAAAATTAGTTTCATTTATAATGTGTAATCGCGTAAATACAGATACTTGTCCCGTATGGGCATCGAACCCATCGCCTTTGGTTTGACGCCATTGTAATCGTTAATTAATTCGATATCCGTTAGAATTATGCGCAACGGACTTCCGACCAGATGTGGCTAAAGATACAAGTACATTAGCGTACCCATTTGTACACGCCATCCTGCTTACGATACTCGGTGAGTATGACGATTAAAATTACTCGTTATCAATAAAACATTTATTAAATAGATATTTGTTGAATTGTATCGATGTATACCAGGACCATTCAATAGAGGATGGCCTGCTGCTATACTATCAACGCAGTTGTATCGATGATTGCTAACCATAAGACCGATTTACAGTACGCAAAATAAAAAAAATATCAGCGAAATCTGCCGATCCGCGGTCGGGTCGCGTGGAGTACGCCTAAATACCCTCTGTTCCCTTTGCCTCGCACTGGGACATATATCAGCTGTTACTTACCCAGATATGATGCCGGGGCGGGTCGCTAGTAAGATATACATTTCTACAAACTGTCATAACGAGCAATTGACAAGAACGAATCGATTCTTTGCGACTCGAACGTTTTGTGTGACTTTGTGATTGATATGATTTCGTGATCAGCTCAGCGGTTTCATATTTATTTAATGAACAAACAAACTAAGAAATTTTATCTGTTTATTATATTAATGTAGATGTAGTTGTTTATTTAGGCGTGAAGGGTCTGTAGAGATAAGCGGGACGGTCACATCGCTATCGGTGTTGCAGCCTTGTTTGTTTTTGCCGTTTTTATCATCCCAACATGTGTAACGTGCCATTAGGATGATAAACACGCATCCCTTCTAATATATAAATGTTTTTGTATGTTTGTCCTTTCGCGTAGCGGCCCAGCGACGGGTCATCGTGATGTTTTGTATAAATATGGTTTTTGGATATTTTAATGATGCTTTTATCCCGGAATAATTTACGGTTCAGATACAAAGGATTTGAAGATTTCTAATCAATCAATAACAATAATGGGGAGTATTGTATGGGCTTAGTTGTATGATAGAATGTATAGATGTTGAATGTATAGATGAGCTAGGTTTGCTTTTTACTGGTCGCGTCTACATCAGTGAAACGATATCACTGGTCATAACATCCAGGAAAGAATTCTTCCTCGTACTACAAAATGAACTCACCAAATAAATTAAAAAAAAAAATCATGCATGACTGCAACTATCTCTCTCTCATATATCTCAAAGGTGTTTTTTAGTCGGTGCGCCATAACTTCCCTTATTCTTCACCAAATTCAATGATTCAGACACCGTTTTTAAGATTATGTTTGGCGCTAACATAACTCGACAGTATATCCTCACTATACATTCGTATACGTAGAAGACGAGCGCATGCACTCGCTCACTCGAAGCGGCTCAGCGTCCCGATAGGTATACGTCTCCTACATTCTCATATGCAAGGCCTCGGGAGCGTTCAAGTTAAACGCATCATAAGCGCCGCTTAGTTACAAAGTACACATGTCACATGTCACTCGTGACGCGTACGAACCACCGACGCTCTGCACTTTGAATAAACAATTCGTGGTACAGTGGACAGCCGCGACGTAGTATTGCTGTTTTTTTTGCCATGATCCTCATGGTTTTCCGACCTATAATGGCAGGATAAGGGCAGAAGAAAGAAGAACTAAACTACTTATTAAGTGTCTTGTCTATTCAGAACCCTCAATCTGTGCTTTGATAAGTGAATGTTCGTATCAAGTGCTGTTATATTAATAAGTCTTAAAGACTTCACGTGGCAAAGGTACGGATTTAATGTTACTCAAAAAAAATTGTCACGTAATCGTTTATTAATGAACAGTAAAGGCGACTAACGCTTTCAATATTCTATCTGTAGAGTTGGATACAAGCGATAGATATTTGATATTAGCTCCATAATACTTCCGTGAAAATTATATCTCCAGTAACAAAATTTGCAGATAGATAGGTTATTGAAAACTCCCACAGGTACCTTATCGGGCGTGTGTTAATAAAGGATACACAGGCTTTGTGTTACTGTTCACTCTGCGGGTAGCTGTCATAAAGTCCATGT